AGAGTAACAAAAATTCTGCAATCGTTCGTGGCCATCGGAATAAAATTTCGATCAACTATTTTGCAGTTCACTTTAAGTGCGCACTTCAAACCAAGTGGATCACTGTGACGAAACACGTCTTCAGAGTTGACGTGTTGAATAAATTTTTATTGAATCAAATGAAAAATAAGTGATTTATATTGATAATTGTATAAGGTAAGTTGAAATTTGTATTAATAATTATTATTATGTGTATGTGAGATAATTTATATAGATGATCTAAACTTGTAGTTCATTTTAAATTAATAATTAGTTCAAGCGAATTATGACATGATTTACTAACAATGTTAATAATAATTGTATTAAGTAGGACGTGAAATTGAAAACAAAGCTTTGTTGGTTGCCTATCAAATTGTTAATCCCAAAATTCACACAGTTTTAAATTTGCAAATATGTAAAAATATTTGTATTTGTTAGAAAGTCAAGTTTTAAGTACTTATTTACAATTTTTAAATTGAACAAATACTAAAAATCCATCTAAAACTATAATAAAATTGTGTTAAAAATATCAAAAATACTGAAAATCTCAAAAAAATAAACACGTTTGATGTAATTAAATATTATTTTCTTTTATAAACTTATTTTTGTATTTCCCAATAATGTAATCTTCACTAACCATCATAAAGAAAACAAAACAATTATTTATATAATAAAAATAGCGTGTTTTCGATCATCTCAACGATTCGTGTCAACACATGATAAAAATTCCATAGTAATCATTGTTACATAATTAAATGAATCCAATTTATATATGTTTTTATTATATTATATAATACCGTTTCTCGACTTATTTTCCGCTTAACATATTTGTTTGTAGTTGTACTGCAATTAAAATGCTATTAGTATTTCACCAGTTCCTCGCTTTGACATAAGTTGACATCTGTCATTTCGCAATTGACCCAACAAATTTGTCTGTAGTTGTATTGCAATTCAAATGTTATTAGTATTTCACCAGTTCCACGCTTTGACATAAGGTGACAGCTGTCATTTCGAGGTAGACCCAACATATTTATCTGTAGTTGTACTGCAATTCAAATGCTATTAGCATTACACCAGTTCCTCGCTTTGACATAAGGTGATAGCTGTCATTTTGCGATTGACCCAACATATTTGTCTGTAGTTGTACTGCAATTCAAATGCTATTAGTATTTCACCAGTTCCTTGCTTTGATATAAGTTGACAGCTGTCATTTCGCGATTGACTCAACTTATTTGTCTGTAGTTGTACTGCAATTCAAATGCTGTTAGTATTTCACTAGTTTCTCGCTTTAACATAAGTTGACAGCTGTTATTTCGCGATTCACCCAACATATTTGTCTGTAGTTGTACTGCAATTCCAAATGCTATTAGCATTACACCAGTTCCTCGCTTTGACATAAGGTGATAGCTGTCTTTTTGCGATTGACCCAACATATTTGTTTGTAGTTGTACTGCAATTTAAATGCTATTAGTATTTCACCAGTTCCACGCTTTGACATAAGTTTACAGCTGTTATTTCGGGACTGACCCAACATATTTGTCTGAAGTTGTACTGCAATTCAAATGCTATTAGTATTACACCGGTTCCTCGCTTTGACATAAGGTGACAGCTGTCATTTTATAAATTGACACGAGCCATAGGTTGAGAAACGCTGATGTATATTATTTAATAATTGATTTATAGTAAAAATATTAATAATAATATTTATTGCAACAATAACTTATAAAATTAAAAAAATAAATACTTCACACAAAAACAAACAACAAATCAACTGCTGCAAAAGGCTATAGGTCTTTTTGTCCCGTTTTATAGTAATAAACACAAATTGTTGGATTAATTTTTGATAATAATAAGTAAATGTTCTAATTAATTAATATTTGTTTCTAACTAATAATTATTTTATTTTTTTTTTCATAATCATTATTTTTTGTGTTATCAAAAAATGTTGCAATTATTTTGTCTGATTTTATTGATATTGGTAAATCTGATTTGTTTACTAGATAATTGATAGATACAAGTACAATTCCTTGAGGAACCAATAAATCGATTAAGAAAATTTCTAATTATTATTATTAATTTTGCAATTTGTATGTATTGTTTGATTTGATTTGATTAGAATCAATAGATTTTATTTCCTATATAAGATAATTAATAGGGTCAAGTACACTTCCTTGGGGAACAGAAAACATGTTTAGAAACTGATTTAAATTTTGCTTTTTGCGTCAAGATTTTTGTATATTGAAAAATTCTATAATCTTCAAAAAAATACTTATTTACTTATTCCAAAGTAATTTTCGTAATAATTTTGAATGTATTTTATAGTTTTTATCGGTGGCAATATCAAGCCCGACAACCGAAATCCCGGCTGGCTCAAAATCCCGACTATATCTAAATCCCGACGTTCGAAATCTCGAGTGTATCAAAATCCCGACGTTCGAAATCCCGGCTGGCTCTAAATCCCGACTGTATTAGAGTTCCGACGTTTGAAATCCCGACTACCATAATCCCGACAATCAAAATCCCGACTATATCGAAATCCCGACTATATCAAAATTCCGACTATATCGAAATCACGAGTATATCGAAATCGTGTCTTTTATTATTATAAATTTCTACAATAACATTTTTATGGTAGTCGGGATTTCTATATAGTCGGGATTTTGATATAGTCGGGATTATGGTAGTCGAGATTCTGACATAGTCATTTCAAGCGTCGGGATTTCAATAGACGGTCTTTCGGTTATCAGGCTAGCAATATAGACCCAGTTTTTATAGGTTTATGCAACATTACTTGCATCTTACATACGATACTATATTTTTCCATGGTAACTCCAAAACTTCTATAGCTGTTAGACAACTTAATATACATATTAAATCTACTTATTCATCCATTACATCTGATCTTGCTCCACTATTGCTAAAGTATCTAAGAAAATGTTTAGTTAGTTTTTAATAAATTTTATACTATTAATTCAATAAAAAAATATTTATAAATTTAATTAAATTCCAAATATTTTAAATTCATATTTAAATTATATATACAATATAAAATTTCAGGAAATATTTTTAATATACATTTTTTAAATTTTGTCGCTAACTTTGCAAGAAATATTTTGAATAAGTTATTCAATACGAATTTATATATATATCAAGTTTTTTTTATAAATTTGAAATAATTTATTTATTGCTTTGATTAATGTCAAAAGATCATCCAAATCTTGACTAATTTAATCTTTTATATCCTAGTTTCTCAACCTAAGAACCAATATTGCGAAAAGACTGTCACTGTCAAACCATAAACAAAATGTGTTTATATTTTGTGTATAATTTATATTTTATGTAAATATCTTTAAGCATTTTCAATAAGGAAAAAAATCATAAATTATGTTCATTTTTGGCGTAATAAAAATTTTATATAGTTTTTCAAATATGACGTTTATAATTACCAATAATCTCTTCTTTTGCGTCTCCAATCTACTAATTTGGTTTGTACACTGCACAGTTTCAGTATTCTCCGCTTAAGTGCTCTTAGAAATAAAGGACACACAGGTTACAAGGTTACATATAATACAGGTGATTACGGATTCAATAATCTCATTTATTGAAGAACTCTAAATATACTATTACATCTGTATAGAGACAAAAGATGACACGAAATTTAAAGTCGTCGATCTTATTGGAACACCATATCTAACTATATAATTTAACTATTTATCTATACAACTAACTATAATTAATGTCATGGATATGTGACTGGGAAGATTCAAGCCATGTATTGTTTTTTAAGCATATCAGATAACTTCTCTCCTATCATAATGGAAGCCATGCTAGGATGTCCGGACAAAGAGAAAGGTAAAACACTTCCATCGGCAACCCTCAACCTCTTCACCCCATAAACCTTCAAATCTTTATTCACGATTCCTCCGTGTCTCTCCAAATCCATCTTGCAAGTCCCAACTGGATGATAAACGTTCATCGTTATCTGCCGTATAGTGCAATACCAATACTCTTTAGATAAATATTCCGTATCTTTGCAAGCTTCAAATACAACTTTGATCAATGTTACATTCAACTTCTTATAATGATCAGTTTTCAAAAGACTCAGCAGATATTCGGTAGCTTCGTAAATCGCGTCTATATCAACGTTCTCCGCATCGGACAAGAATTTCGGGTCGATAATTGGAAAATCGAAAGGGTCGTTCGATTTAATCGTTACATATCCAATAGATTTTGGCTTCAATAAAACTACGTACATCAAGAAATCCGTGACTCTGTTCAGGTTACCCCAAACGGCTTGAAAGGTTTCGTCTGTCAGATGGAAAGATTCTTGGCTTGCCGCATTTTCCATGCCTGATGGTGAAATGAGAAATTCTATATCTGGAAGACCGGGAATTTGCATATGCTTGCTTTGGTAATAACCAATTCCTTGTAGATTAGCAGCTATAGTGAAATCGCCTTTACCATCCAAGTATTGCTCAATGTATTCCCTTTGCGTGTATTTGGGTTGATTGAAATTAGTCCTGAAGGAGAGACCGTAGAAAGTTGGGTGATCATGCAAGTTGCTTCCAACTGGGAGATCTTTCACAACAGGAATATTGTATTTCTCTAATTCCAATTTAGGCCCAATACCAGAATGCATCAAGATAAATGGAGACGCTATAACGCCTCCAGATACAATAACTTCCTTCTCAACTTTAGCTATAGTTTTCTCTCCATTCAGCATGAACTCAACTCCGTAAGCCGTTTTATCATCAATCAAAACGCGAGTTACATAAGCCTTGTCAACAATCTTCAAATTACTATACTTTCTCGCTGGGTCTAAATACGCTTTCGCCGTGGACACACGTCTTCCTTTGATGTTATTCAACTGATTCCTCGAGACTCCAATCTGGTGAGCTCCATTGAAATCCAAAACTTTATACCCTAACTCCTCGTTAGCGCCCAAATAAGCATCAACTTGAGGACTTATCGGATTATGGTAGTAAACCGGAAAAGGTCCATCTTCTCCATGATAACCCGGATCACCATCGATGTGAGAGTCTTCTATTTTCTTGAAATAAGGTAAAACTTCTTCGTAAGACCAAGAACCGTTTACTAGTTGATTCCAAGTATCGAAATCATCTCGATTCCCTCTACTATCAATCAAACCGTTAATCACAGTTGTACCACCAACAGCTTTACCTCTTGGAAACGGGCATCGCCTATCCTTCATACCTGAATTAACATAAATATTTTGTTAATTGACTAATTAATAAAAGATTATTTTACCTAAACAGGCATGTTCTTGAGGAACGCTGAAATATCCCCAATTGTAATCAGTAAATCTGCTGTAAAAGTAAAGACCAGGAATATCCGTGAAGTTGTTCTCGGCGCCTCCAGCTTCGATCAACAAAATCTTAAACTTTTCCTCTTCGGCCAAACGAGCTGCCAAAGTTGCACCCGTCGATCCGGAACCAACGATGATGAAATCATAAGACCCAAAATCTACAATTTAAACCGTTAAAATTTATATACAAAATTAAATCAAACTGATACCTTTAGCATCTTTGGAACAATAATAATTCCCTCTGAACTCTTCAGAAGACGTAGGAATTACATAATTTGCGGTTTCATTGATTGTTGAGTTAATAAGATTTTCGAAGTAGAGAATCGTGGCTTCATCGTAAGCTCTCACCGAATGGTGAATAACTAAAATGTATAAAAGCTTCTTGAACATTTTTACAATTATATTTGAATTGCTGCTTTTTCTGCAAGTATATTTATACTAGCTTTATCTTCCTGTTATTATTTTCAACTAATTATTTTAAACAAATATACTCATTTAATTGAGGCTACAACAAGTACTGCAGTATATTTCTTTGTAATTAGTTCTTAACTCTAATTGCTGTTGATATGAATAAGAAAAAAAATGCTATCACCCTTTTCAAATTTACTTATTATTTGTTATTCCAACATTGTCAACAGAATAATTGTAAAAGCTTACACGTTACCACATTTTCAAACAATTATAGAAATTCAAAATTATAGATATTTTCAAAGTATAATTCAAAAACTAATGACTTTACATTTGTATTACATAATGTAATGACAATAAAATTATTACACTTCATTAAAAATACAATTTTCAAATTGTAATCATAAAACTAAAGTAAAATCTCTTGCATTACATTAAGTAAATGTTATTATTTGCAAATTGCAGAATTGAAAATCCGAATATCACGAATTTTTCAACAATATAATTGAAAATTATCAAATCGTAATTATGAAACATTAAATAAATGCTAGTAAAAATTTCTTATTTTCATCTGTAAACATTTTCAAATCATAATTCTGAAATTGATGTAAATTCTCCTGCATCTCAATATATAATTTCTCGAATTTTTCAAGCAGAATTCACTCAAAATTTGATTTTTTTTTCAAATCGAGACACACTAAATTTTTATTCACATTAATTAAATGCTATTACTTGTAGATTGCAACAAAAAAATTGTCTCATTTTCAAGCACTTAAAAATTTAGGGTTTTTCAATAATAATTATGAAACAATAATCTTATAACAAAATTGGTTAATTTTTACATTTTCAAATTCTAATTCTGAAACTAATGTAAATCTTCTTGAATTATTATGAAATTTTGTAGCTATTGTAAGAAAATTATAATTTTACAAAATCTTCTTGAAAATTTAATATATAAATACTTTTTTATTTTCTTGATTTTTTTTCTAATTTCTCATTAAGATTCTTATTGGTTTGATCTATAATTTCTAGTTATTAATTATTATATTTTTTAGGAAATTTTATTAATTACATTTATTATCTTAAACGTTTTATTATTTGTTGTTGTTTTAGTTGAAAACAATAAGTTGGATCATATCTTTCACCTTGCAATTAAACTACTTCGATTACTGTAAAATTCCAAATCAACAAACTAATAATTGCAATTAGTCTAAATTCATCCATTATCTTAGTAATTGCTTCACAAATGTATGTTTACTATTTCAACAATTTTCAAATTAATAATCGTTTATTTGCAATTAAGAACTTTTCTTCATTTGAAAATAATTATTTAATAAAATTCAATTATAAGATTAAATTAATAAGAAAATTTAGTACACTAATTAGCTAGTGACTAATGTAATTTATAGAAATAATTACAGGAAAAAATCAAAATGAAATTTGACATTTGACATATACTTGACAAAAAAAAAGAATTGAATAATGTCATTATTTACTGAAATATTAACCTTTCAAAAAAACAAAGTGCATACTGTCATTAATTACTTTCATAGCTTCTGAAAAAATACAAAACAACGTAGCCTCTTGGTATCTTGTCAATTATGTGCCAACTTAAGATATTTTTAGAAACTGTTCTACAAAAAATCACTGTCATTACTGTCATGTTTCTTAACAGCTGTCAGAAAACATAGTAAGAAACAAAATCTGTCCCTGTTGATTGAGATATCAACTGTCAAAATGTTTAATGTAATGATGATGAAAATTTGCTAGAAAAATATAATATATACGTGCGTGTAATAAAATCAGAAGTTATTTCAAATAAATATCGGTGGCAATCGCAAGCCCGACAACTGAAATATCGTCAATCAAATTGCCGACGTTCGAAATCCCGACAACCATAATCCCAACTATATCAAAATCCCGACTATATTAAAATCCCGACAACCATAATCCCGACTATATTAAAATCCCGACAACAATAATCCCGACTGTATCAAAATCCCGACTATATCGAAAATGTCTACAATAACATTTTTAAATTATGTCGGAGAAATAATAACAATTAGTAATCTAATTGTATTTGAGATTATTTCATAATGTTAAGGTTTATTATGAATAATTCAACAAATTCAAATAAATTAATAATAATTTATTGTTATTAATAATAAAAGTGTAGCACAAGGTGACTACGCTTCGAAATAATTTATTGTTATTAATAATAAAAGTGTAGCACAAGGTGACTACGCTCCGAAATAATTTAAAAATGTTATTGTAATTTTTGATATATTCGGGATTATGGTTGTCGGGATTTTAATATAGTCGGAATTTTGATATAGTCGGGATTATGGTTGTCGAGATTTTGATATAGTCGGGGTTTTCGAACGTCGGGATTTCGATACAGTCGGGATTATGATTGTCGGGATTTTAATAGACGGTCTTTCGGTTGTCGGGCTTGAGATATAGACCCAATAAATATATATATAAAATTCTTTAATTAACTTCTATAATTGAATAATAATTTGTGATGAAAGATGATGAAAAAAAATTAAAGAAAATAATATTTCATAAACAATATAAAAATTAATGATGGAGAGTCCATTTCCTTAATTTTGTTAACAAAATGGTGTTTCCTATGATGAAGTATGCATAACCTGTCGCACGAATTGTGCTGTGGTTCAAGTAGATTTCTCTAGATGGCGCTTGACAATTAACTACTTATGCAACTCTACATGTTTTTACGTCAATAACGTTTACGTAAATCATGTTAGATGGCGACAGATGTAGTCTGACATTTTTCGAATCTGCGAACTGGTCAAAATCGTTCCGGACAAACATCGAATATTGATGAACGTAAAACGCATACACGAACACTGGATGGAGCAGAAACAATGAAAGAAGAGTGAGAGAGAGAGGGGAAGAAGAAGAAAAAGCGAAGAAACGTCGGAGAGGGCCATTAACATGCACATGTTTATGGCGCGATCGGAATGCATAAATGGTTTTGGTTCTTTTGTAATGATGGACGGCCAAGTACAATGACGTCCAATTGGAATGGAGACAGTGAATTCTATTTGCAGCCTACTACTCTGAATATATATATTGCACATCTAAAATTGTTCTGCTCCGGTTTTGAAAACGGCCGCGAATTGCGCTTACCACGAAAATTCAGATATTCAATCCAAAGATATTGTAGTAAGAGGGCAAATCTTTGTAGGAATTGGTCACGCCTGAAGTATTTCATATTGTAGGTGGATCACCACGATTCGAATCAAATCAGTTCTGCTGTTGTATAACAATCATATAATGATTCATGTAATGTTTATGCATATCTTTATGTTCAAATGTCTAAATTTGATCACAACTGCGGTTATTCATTCTAACTATGTAATCTTATTGAATATGAAATTATACAATCAATTATTTCATACGACAAATATAGATTGTTACGTGTTCAATAACAATTTTTAACTGTTTTTATAATTAAAATTGAATAAAAAAAATATCATACTTTCAAGAATAACTTATATTTATTAAATAAATGAAATACATATCAATATTATGCATTACAGTTTTCTAGAATTGTCGATAGTTTAAAAATCACCCATTTAATTGAAATCCGCAAAACAACTTGTTTAATTAATAAAACTATGAAATATGACTTAAACTATCCGAAATTCTGAATCATTTTATTGAATACATTTCTTTTTAAATTATTAACTCCAGTCCAAATTCCAATATGACAAATAATAATAGATTTATTAATGATAACCAATTTTTATAATACTATTAACAAAAATAATTGTACTTTGGACTTGCAGAATTAGTAATAATTTATTTTATTGACTCCAATCAAAAAAAATATATGATTTTGGTTACTGGGAACTTAAATTTCTTAAATTGAAACATTCTAAATATAAACTGACTGTTTATTGTGATATAATTCTATTTTTTTACAAGTTATAAGAAGTTATAACATACTAAGATAAAAAAAAACAAAATACTTATATAATTAACTGTCATTAATTACTGTTATAGATTCTAAAATAAAACAAAAAGAAAAACGCTTTTTAGCAGCTTCACAAGCCAACTTTAGATATTTTTAGAAATCGGTAGGAAAACTGTGCTACAATAATAATAACAAAAGTAATTGTACCGTGGACTTTGGCAGAATTAGTAATTATTTATTTTATTGACTCCAATCAAAAATATATATATAATATTATCTCAGTTCATTTTTAACATTGTGGTTACTGGGAATTTGAAATTTATATAGAATTTACTAGATTTAATTTTGCATCTAAAAAATGTATAAATTCATCGAATTATTAATAAACTTACATATAAACTGACTGTTTATTGTGATATAATTCTATTTTTTAACAAGTTATAAGAAGTTATAACTTCTCTGTCATAACATACTGAGATAAAGAAAACTTCTTTAATTAAATGTCATTAATTACTGTTATAGATTCTAAAACAAAACAAAAAAAAGAACGCAACTTAACAGGCCAACTTGAGATATTTTTAGAAATTGGTAGGAAAACTGTGCTACAATATTAATAAAAAAAACAGTAATTGTACTTTGGACTTTGGTAGAATTAGTAATTATTTATTTTATTGACTCCAATAAAAAAAAATTATATAATATTATCTCCGTTCATTTTTAGCATTTTGGTTACTGGGAATTTGAAATTTATATCAAATTTACTAGATTTAATTTTACATCTAAAAAAATGTATAAATTCATCGAATTATTAATAAACTTACATATAAACTGACTGTTTATTGTGATATAATTCTATTTTTTAACAAGTTATAAGAAGTTATAACTTCTCTGTCATAACATACTGAGATAAAGAAAACTTCTTTAATTAAATGTCATTAATTACTGTTATAGATTCTAAAACAAAACAAAAAGAATAACGCTTTTAAGCATCTTTAGCAGCTTAATAAGTCAACTTTAGAGATTTTTAGAA